GCCCAGCGTTTCTCAACCCGTGGGTCACAACCCAAAAGTGGGTTGCAAGAATATATGAAAGGGTTGTGAACAAACTTTTAAAATGGATTCTCCTTTAAAGGAGAAAAATGTGGGAAACTGTGGGTTTTCCCTTGCAGGCTGGCAGAGTTCCAGCCTGCAAGGCGCTCCCCTTCCCCACACCCTGGGGGCCTATGGCCTGGAGGGGCAGTGGGTCAGAAGTGAGGGGCACTGGGTTGGAACTGGTCATCAATGTTTACAAATGGGTCCTGGTACAAAAAAGGTTGAGAACCACTGCTCTAGCTTATGAAGTTGCTTTTCCTGGCTCAGAATCGTGGCAATGGCTTCAGTAGTCATCACCCCTTTTTCTTCCTAGAATTGGCAGGGAGACGTTCTCAAGATGCAGTCACCTGCTCTTTTCTCATAACATCTAAACTTGGCTTGCATCTGCTGCCTCGCCCACTTACTGCAGAGAGTAAAGTGGTTCCCAGCTCCATTGCTGGTCACAGGCCCAGCTGCAAATGGCCTTCTGTTCATTTCAGAGTTTTTAACACTAAAGCTTTTTTGGAATTTTATTTTCATGAAAAACATATGAAATTTTGTTTGATTTTTCCTGATTCAGGATGAAATAAAATAGCAAAGCATTTTGTATGAAGAGGCTAACCCTCCTCATCCTCCCTCCTCCTTTCCCCCCATCCTCCCCAAAAAGCTAACAATTTGTTTTGAAGATGGGATGTTCTTATCAGTTGCACAGCCCAGTGTACAGCACATTTAACCAGTATGTCTGCATCTTGGATTTCTTTTTTTGGAAAGATACTATATACATTTCTGTGCCTCTTAAATGCATGCAAATAGCTTGTTCATGTGACATTCATAGATTTTTAGGGATGGGGACGATAATTGATTAGGGCAGAGGTTCCTGGGTTGCAGGGGGTTGGCTGCCGGATTATGGTACCGGGCTGCGAAGGGTTGGCTGCCGAGTCATGGCACAAGCCCCCCACTTGGTCCCCCATCTGTCCACCCAGGTCAGTGGCTTCTGGGGTTAAAGCTGGGTGGTGGGCTAGCCCTGGGAGGGAGGCAGCTGGCTCTGTGACCCCCATCTTGCTCCTGCTGGTCAATGGTATAAAAAAGGTTGGGAACCACTGGATTTAGGGGAATGAGGATCATACCAGATCAGGAAAAGCAGATGAAGCTTCTGAGAGCAAAGAGGGATTGTTGGTTGTAGCCATCTTGGTCTAAGGACATAGGCAGGCAAGGTTCTTTGGGTAGGTGTGATATCTTTTATTAGACCAACCAAAGAGTCACACCTACAGGCTGGGGAACTCACTTAGTAGACACTTAGTTCTTGCCAGTGTCGAAACAGAAAAGGATCTTGGAGTCATCATTGAGGCCACAATGAACATGGGCCGACAAAGTGGGGACACGGTCAGGAAGGCCAACCATACCTTGTGGTGCATCCACAGATGCATCTCAAGCAGGTCCAAGGAGATGATCCTCTCCCTCTATGCGACACTGGTCAGGCCGCAGCTGGAGTACTGCATCCAGTTCTGGGCGCTGCACTTCAGGAGGGATATGGCCAATATGGAGAGGGTCCAAAGGAGGGCCACCCGCATGATCAGGGGTCAGCAGGGCAGGCCCTACGAGGAGAGGCTGAGGGACCTGAACCGGTTCAGCCTCCAAAAGAGAAGGCTGAGAGGGGATCTAGTGGCAGTCACAGATGCTTTCATTCTAAAGCCTGTTTCAGGGGTGGGCAATTATTTCGAGTGGAGGGCTGCTTACCTAGTTTTGGCAAGCTGTCGAGTGCCACATGGATAGCCCCACCCCTTGACAGGTGCCCCGCCCTCTGGTGGCCATCTTGTGACTAGAAGCCCCACCCCCTTAGCCTTCGCCACCAGAAGTCCCTCCCCTTGCCCCTGGAAATATTCCTTTCAGTAAGGGATTTTGTCGTCTCAGAACCAGAAAAATACTAAATTATATTCTAAAAATCGATTATCTACAACATCATTAATTTGATTTTAAACAATAGTTTTGTCCAGATTTACATGTGTTTGTGTAATGTACATAGAGGTGATTGCGCAGTAGCTTAAAATGAAGTCTTACTCTCGTATATTGTTGTGGGGGTATAGGGTTGTGGGGGGTGTGGCTTTTTGGGGCTGTAGGGGGTGTGGGTGGGGTGAGGGATCATGTGGGTATGTGTGGATATATGAGGTATCAGTGGGTATGGGGTTTGTGGGGGCCTGTGTGTGGGTGAGGGTGGCTAGGGTATGTGAGGGGGTGTGGGTGTGGCGGTCTGCATGTATAGGAGTGTGCAGGGGGTTGTGGGTGCAAGTGTATGATGGGGTGTGCATGTGGGACTTGCCTGTGAACTCTCTCTCTCTCTCCCTCCCTCATTGCTCTCTTTGTCTCTCTCTTTCTCCCCTTTCCTCATTGCATGGACACCACACGCCACAGGTGGCGGAGGCTTCTGGTTGGGGGTGGCCTAGGGGAGGCGGGGCAGGGACGGCCTTGCTCCTGAGTCCTGCTGGCTTCCCCTGGGTCCTACTTCCCCAGGTCCTGTCATCTTTGATAGGCAGCCAGGAGCAGATAAATATTAGTTTTCTAAACTTTGTAGGGGCCCTGTGGGTTGGATAGAATGGCCCCGGTGGCCTGCAGGCCCTGTATTTTGCCTGTCCCTGGCCTATAGGAGCTTAGGAGCTCTTCACGGTGTCCTCCTTTCACTGCAGCGGATCTTGCTCTGATATGCTTTAGATGCTCTGCATGACAGCTTGTCCTGCTCCCTCCTAACACTGTGTTAACCCTTCTGTCACCTGCCACTTCTTTGCCTTTGTTATCAGTTAATGTTGCTGCACAGTTTCGTGCTGGTTAGCTAGTTAAATTTAAGACCCTTACTAAATAACTTAAATATAATTTGATTTGTTTATTCATAGAAAAGATAGTTTCATTGAATAATAAAAAAAATTATGCTATTTATGTCACTTGCCTTTCCTTTATCACTTGATATAAATCTAATTCTGCTCTCACGTTTTCTTATGTTACCAATGTGCAACTCCTGGTGTCAGGGGAGGCATTCTTGACTGTCATCAGGATGAGATCACTAACAGGCTCAAAATATTAAAGATTATTTCAAAATTTCCTGTGACAATTTGGTTTCATATATAACCCAAATACAATAAAGGCCCAGACAGAGCCAACTGAAGCAGGGTGCGGGGCCTGGGGCCCCTGCCCCGCCTCGGATCTCACGCGCCCCGGACCCAAAGAAGCTCCTGGCAGCAGCAGTTCAGTGGTGGGGGGAGGGTGCGGGGTAGCAAGCAGCTGGAAGCAAAGCCAGCAGCAGCGGTGCAGGGTCACCACGGCCGCTCCGCCCAGCTCTGCGGTGCCCGGGACAGACTCCCTGATTTGCCCCCTCCTAGGGACGGCCCTGGGCCCAGAGGTAAAAATAATATTGATTTTTTTTTTCCAACAAATTGTGTTGAATTTGGCACACTTGAAGTTGTGGCCAGGTTTTTTGGGTTTTTTTCCAAGTTTTAAAAAGGGGCACAGACACTAAGGAATGCCCTTGTAGCATTATAGAAGTTGAATGGACAGATGTACGTGTTCCCTATTGCTACAGAAATGTTCGTGGAAGAAGCGGGAACTTCACTGTAGTACATTGTTCTGTTGTAGTACGATGCACTGTAACAGGACAAGGGGATCTCTTGGTTTCCCAGTATCCCACACTGCTTAACTGTCCTTCCCTCTCTCCGTCACCTACCTCTTTCCAAGGAAGCACGAACAAGGGAAAGTGGGGCAGACAGTTAACAGTTAATGAGAACTGCTTGGATGCTCAACTGTCATTGGAGGTGAGGGGTGGTGGGGGGGAGTAGAGTTGTTATTTTTTCCTCTCTTTTATGCCAGTTTGTTTTTTGTGAAGAAGTAAAAACCACTTAAAGGACCATCTGCCTCAGAGACCACTTCATAATCTCAGTATTGAGCCTGCAATTCTGCAACTGGGTTGGTTTCCATAGTGCTGTTTGTTACGATATGTAGTGGGGCACTAATGTGTAGTATGTACAAGTAGGAATGAGGATCTTGATGAAAAGCAGCATTAAAAGACCAACACAGCATCATCTGAGAAGTTTAAACAGCTCTCCTTGGAGAATTGCTATAAGGAAAGGCTGCTATACTTGCCATGCTCCTAAAATGTGGTTGGTTGGTTGGTTGAGTTCTTATGAAGGTGTGGGATAGCTAAATGGAAGTAAAATAAATGGGGATGTACAGACGTTTCTGCAACCTGACTTGTCTTTTTTAATATTGTCGTTTGTTGGTGTCCAACATTTTGGCCAAGGAAGGGTCTATGCTCACTAATTTCAAGGCTTCTCTGCAATATATTGCAGTTCCAACAGTTTAACTAAAATATCAGGACAAATTAAAATCCTAAATTGGAGATCCACAATTACAGTAATGATGAAAGCAATTTTTGTTTTATTTCTTAAGAATTAATGACCTGTTGGTTGGCTGGTTAATTGAGAATTCAGTAGGTGAAATAACAGCCTTTGTATTTCATAGTTATATCTATCATATCTTTCAGTCAGCTATCTTGTACTTTCCTCCGCCCCTCCTTGTGTTTTAAACCTCTTTGGACAGGAAATCTGTACTGTGAACCCTACAAACCCTCTCTCAAATCTTTAGTATGGTTCTAAGTCATTTTTATTGTTCATTAGTTATTGAATCAGATGTACTTAGTTACCTAATAACTAAGCCAAATAAACATTTTAATATTTTTAAAATGTCTTACTTGAGCACATATATCTTTTTGGTTTTGACCCTTTACATTCTTGATTAGTTCATATGATGTTTGCTGTTTTCTATGATGCTCATAAAACTGGTTAGTACTTGTCTGAGAAACTTTCACTTTCCCAGTGCTACATAAATAAATACTTTATTTCTGAAATTCTTACTAGCCATATAAATAAACTTAAGATTATTCAGATATTTTAGTGACCCTGTTGTCTTTTTCTTGACAGGTATCCAGTCTTGCTAATGTGATGGCATAAACTAGTTAAAGTCATCTAAATTGCATCATGGTTCTCAGCAATGGTGACTGATAGCATTACAGTGGCACTATGGGCATCTACTAGACCAAGCATCAGAAGTTTATATTTCCTTCACTTTGGAAATGGTAGGAAAAATCTTACTTTTTTTTTTTTTTTTTACTAAAGGTAATGGAGTCCAGCACTGCAGTTTAAGATTTTCTTTTTGCTTATTTTTAAAAAGTTATACAGTAGTAGAGAGATACAGAGTGTTGTATCAGAGGCATCGCTCATCATTAATATCTATTGAGTTTGGCAACTAATACTTGGCAAAATGTTTGCCAAACTTGAATTTGGAACCAGGACTTAGTTTGAAACACGAGTTCCCAGTCCTGATGTAGTAACATTACCCAAGTAAAATTAAGCAAGACTCCTTATTTGAAAAACACTGCCAGTGTGAATTACGTTTGAGTTTAGTTGTAAATGATTGTTGCAGGAGGACCAGGTGGTAACTTACATTGTTCAACATTTTCTAATAAAAAAGGAATATTGAAACCTTTCTTCTCTGAGAAGCTCTCACTCTGCTTCTGTTTGCAGTAGGACAGTGGTGCTCAACCTTTTTGCCCTGTGGGCCAGATGAATGGCATAGGGTTGGTCCCTGGGCTGGAATGAGTCCCACGTTGTCTTGGGACCTGGTACCACCTCCTCTGGCCCCTGCCCAGCAGAATGGGGCTCTGGGGGCTCGGCACCACCCCCTCACACTGGGATTGGGCCATGGGGACCTTGTACCAGTCCATCCTGGCTCCCCACACTGGGACTGGGTCCTGGGGCTTGGCATTGCCCCTGCTCAACCCTTCATGCTGGGATCAGAGCCCTGCAAGTGTATGGAAATTTGGCAGCAGGAGAGCAGTGCCAAATTTCTGGACCTGTGGAGAGCCTCATGGGTTGAATACCATGGTGCTGCGGGCTGGATCTGGCCCATGGGCCAGGGGTTGAGCACTCCTACAGTAGGACATAGGCATTCAACATAGAGTAAGAGTTCCAGGCTAGTGAGCATAGAAGCAGGACTGACAGCAACCTCTTGGGTTGTGAATTGCAGCTCCCGATAGTTTAGGCATATTATATCATCTCTTTGATAAACTTAACGGGTTCCATTTTAAAACCAGTTAGGTTCTAGAACAGCTTTCCAATATTTTTATTAGGAGCAATAAACCTGATTGCTCTAATACTATATTTTCATGCATAAAACATACATATCTTTCCCCTTAAACCAGCTGGGGAAATACTGGTGCCAAACATATGAGAGAAATGCAGGGGTCCAGACATTCAGCAGCAGGGGAGAGGTGGCTATGTTAATTGCTGTGCATGGCAATCAGTGCTTCCACAGCTCCCCTATTGACGCATCTCTAGACCCCTGGGGAGCCTCCCAGCCAGCTGACTTAGCACTGTGCGCCGGATCAGGCCAGCACATGGGCCAATCTGCATCTGAACTCGCTTTGTGTTCCCAGCCCTGGCACACTGGATTTAGCCCTGCTGTACAATCCCGGTCCTGGTGTGCCATGCAGCCCCATCCACTCTGCACTAGATTGGGCTGGCACAGGGGGTCAGACCCAGCATTCAGCCACAGACCCAAAGACCCCAGACCTCGGGAACTTACCCATACCCCAAGATGAGATTTTTTTTTTTTTTTTTTTCCCCCCCTTCTTGGAGCCTTCGAAAAAAAGGGTGGATGTTGTATTCAGGGCTTTGGTATATGTGAAGAAATATGGTAGCTAGGAAACTTTTCAGTCTTAAATTTATTCATAGTTTATCTAATTTATTTTTGTGTCAGTATTGTCTTTTAGCTTAAATAGTTATTTTCTTTCCCTGCTGTCTGCCCTTTCTAGTCTGTTTCTAGACAGCTGTCATGTTCCCTCCCTATCTTTGTTTTGTTAAGCTAAAATAGCCAAGTCTTCCTGTCTCCTCTTCTTATAGGACAGAATTGTACGTAATTTTCCAGATGAGGGAGATGCTACTTGTCATATTTATTGTACTACTAACACTTTCCTGGCTTTACTGGAAAAACTTCACATAATGAATGGGGATAGGTTGTATTTAACTTTTTCATGGTTACATCATATTGGTGACTCATTGTTATCCATTGATTGAGTAGCATACCCTGGTCCTTTTCGGTTAGTTATTTCCAACTGATGAGTTCCTGAGCACACTCCTGTTGTTTGTGTCAAGATCATTAATGAAAATATTAAACAAGGTTGTTGCCTGGACTGGTCCTAGAGGAATGTTACTATTATCCAGCCTGATACTTCAACACTACCCACTGGCATCTCTCTTTGAGCCAGTTTCTCTACTAATCCCTACTTTCTCTGTCTTAACTAATAGTTTCTTATCTATCTGTGTAACAAAAGGCTTTATTGAAGTCTGGATAAGGAACATCATCATTTGCTTTCACTAGAAAATCAGGTATCAAAGAAGACTCTTAGGTTAGTTTCCCATGACCTTTGTATACCAATGTAATATTTTCTACCATTTTCACTTTATCTTTGTCTTGGATCATTTTATTGAACATCATATTTTGTGACTAGTCACTTTGCTACTTACCAAACAACACCTAAAATAGTATTGCTTCTTGTTAGCCTTGGTCAGCTGTCACATTCAGGACTATCCAGGCCCTGCTATTGTTAGTAGCATTTGTTTTGTAGTTTGTAGCTCAGAAGCTAGCCTCCAATAATGTTATAATTTCTGGTAGCATTTTTCTCCCTAATGAACTGTCTTTGTTTATCCAATTTCAGCTGAGTCCACTTGTGTCCATCTTCATATCTTCCACTAGTAATTTAAGTTCCTAGGTTTCTGATATTTCTTTGCAAATATTTTATTGTTTCCTACTGATTGTGCTGTGTACCATAGCTGGATTAGGCACAGTCTTGTCATGTACTCAGTCAAGAACTTGACTGTTCCTCATCAGCATAAACACTTTCTTTGTCCTTGTCCTTTTGCCCATTTGCCTTTCCTTTATTCATTGCTGTGTGGTCTTCACCCGATTTTTTTTCCCCTTCTCTTGCATACTAAGAGATTTACTCAGCTGTCTCTTAAACTCCTTTCATTTTTCATTGGAAAGGTCTTATGAAGTCACACCAGCTTTCATCTGTTTCCCCAGCAGAGTCTTTTCTTTGGCCTGTGAAATTCTGTTAAGATTTTGCTGAGATAGACGCTACAAAATATTGCAGTTTACTACTTATCAATTGCATTCATCAGCACTTTTTGGCAGACTGCCAAGTAAGAGCTAAACATGCAGATATTCCAAGGGAGAGCTGATATTTTGCCAAAGTAATAGTTTCATGCATTGTAAGAGGAACACCTGGAAGCTGTTGGCACAGTTGTGGAGAGGTTGGGGAGGGAGCTGATCTTGGTGTCTAGGCCCCAGTGATCTGCTTATCCTGGGGACATAGTTTGAGAACAGCTCTTCCCAAACCCTCCCAGAAAGGATGGGGCAGTCTGGAGCCTTCTTGTTAGCAAGGGGAGGGGAGAAGCTGTTTTTTCTCAGTTTTGACCTGGCGCATAGCAGCCCATCTTCTCCCCTTTCCTGCTATTGCATGTGCCAGTGATTCTTAACCTTTTAGACTTGAGGTACTCCTCTTTAGGCTTCAGGCACCCTTTGGAAAATGCCAGCTCTTAGTTTTCACTTCTTGTTTTATTTTTCCCACAGAAAATAATAAAGCGACTTTGCTGTTGCAAAAAACTTTGAAAGACCACAGCTGGTCAGAATGTTTTAAACATACTAATTCCTATTTGAAATCTTTGGGTTTATTTTGTGAATCATGTTTGGACATGAAACAGTGGTAACACTGTGTGGCACCCCACGGCACTGTTGAAAGCATTTCAAGGCATGCCAGGGTACCACAGTTCTTTGGTTGGGAATGGCACCACTTTCAGGACACCATATGCAGCAGGAACTCCCTTGTTACCTGGGGCTGGGGGTCATGAGAAGGCTGTGCTGGGCTATGTTCTTCATCCTGTCCCCCAAATTAATAGCGGTCTCCTGTAGTCAGTTAACATAGAGCTTATGGTGCTGATGGGGTTGGTAGTCCAGGGTCAGTCTTCAAACTGTGATGATGATACATGAGTAGAGATGTTAAAGTTTCATAAGATTTAAGTAGTTCAACTTTATAAAAAAACAAACAAAAATATAAAATCAAGCAACATAACATACATCCTAAAGCAAGGGTTTCAGACTCATTTGGCCTCCTGGACTGACTGTAGACTGCAGAGCTTCCTGCAGGCTGGATATGTGAGTAAGTGCCAGCAGCAACATTGATCCTTGTGGCTGCTGAAGCTATAGTTTCAGCGTGACTCTGGAGCCCAGGAAGCTAATGCTGCTGCTTGACTACTACCCCACCTCGCTTTCTCCTGTATATCCCTCCTCTGCTCGTGCTTGTAGGGAGGCAGTTAGACGGGCCAAAGCTGCCATGGAGCTGAGGATGGCAACCCAAGTAAAAGACAACAAGAAATTGTTTTTTAGATATATAGGGAGTAAAAGGAAGGCCCAGGGAGGAATAGGACCCCTGCTAAATGGGCAGAAACAATTGGTGATGGACAGAGGGGACAAGGCTGAACTCCTCAACGAGTTCTTTGCCTCAGTGTTCCTAAGTGAGGGGCACGACAAGTCTCTCACTGGGGTTGTAGAGAGGCAGCAGCAAGGCACCAGACTTCCATGCGCAGACCCTGAGATGGTGCAGAGGCACTTGGAAGAACTGGATGCCTTTAAGTCGGCAGGCCCGGATGAGCTCCATCCGAGGGTGCTGAAGGCACTGGCCGACATCATTGCAAAGCCACTGGCGGGAATATTTGAAAGCTCGTGGCACACGGGCCAAGTCCCGGAGGACTGGAAAAGGGCCAACGTGGTCCCCATTTTCAAAAAGGGGAGGAAGGAGGACCCAGGCAACTATAGGCCAGTCAGTCTCACCTCCATCCTTGGCAAAGTCTTGGAAAAAATTATCAAGGCTCACATTTG